GTGTTCCACCAATCACAATAAGGATTCTCCAAGCCCGGACACTCTGGGCTGCTATGGGTAAGCCCGCCACGCTTGTGAATCATGTTTACACACCTAACAGTACTAACATTGCATAAAACCGCACAGCACCTGGAAAGGATCTCAAGGCACCTCAGGGTGCCGCAGCATCCTGGCTGAGAATGACTGCTCTAAGTAGCCCAATTTTGAACTACTGCATTCAGATCAAGATGGCACCTGAATTTTTTTTTTTCAGGTTTTTTTTATTATTTTTGGCCAATTTACTTTAAATGTTGGACTTTAAAAAAAGAGATTTACAAATAACAGGCACAACAGTGCTAAATGTTTATGCAGTCAGATCACAGGTGAATGGCTGCACAATATATTTGGAAGTTTGCTGCACAAGTGGAGGGAAAGTGGCAAATGTGCACAGCCCTCTGCAAATAAAAGAATTGCAGCTCATTGGCTGAAGCAGAAAGAAAAATAATTTACAGTTTGTTCCCATCGGGTCTAACACATTTTGTTTCACTGTTAGGTTATTTCTTCTTACCCTTTTCAGAGGGTTTAGGTCAATTTCAAAGTGAAAAAGTCATTTCAACATATTCCATTTTGGCATTTTCAAAACAAAATGTTGACTTTTCAGAACATTTTCTTCCTTTTCTTGGCTATAATTATATTTGCCAAATTAAATTTAGATTTTTAAGTATTTTTTTTTGGGGGGGTGCATGTCCCCCACATGGCACTTCTCAGCAAATGTACTCCCTGCCCCTCCACACCCCTCCCGGTACCCCAGTTCTATATGTATGTGCAGAAGCTGCAGCTTCTTCTCAAGTGCCGGTGCATATATATGCACAACATTGACAAGCTAGAATTGGCAGCATCTCACCAGCTGAAAGCAGGAGCAATCCTGCTGCTCCACCTGAAGTACATCCTCTCATCACTCTCATGGCCTTTCATGAGGTATACGACTTCTTCCTCACCTCCCAGTGAAAGAGAAACTATCTTTTGTAGAGTTTGGGGGAAATCAGAAGCAAGAGTCAATGCTGAGCCCTTCAGTCAAGTAAAGTGTTCAGCATAGAGACCTGATCTGTAGGACACTTCAATAGGTACCATACTTCAGGCAGTGAAGCAGCTTAGGCCCCTGCATTACCTGGCCCCTCATTTCCTTGCCTTTCTACCCATTGTCCATACTCCTATCTCCAGTTTCTCTTCCTGTTCCCAGCCTCTTTCCCTTTCTGCTGCTATATGCCCATGTTTTCTCCCTGGACTCCACATAGTAAATATGAACATCCATCTTCAAACTCATCAGAAACAATGGGGGACAGTTAGTACACCCTCCTTCTCACCCACAAGTTATCACAGCTGAGAGGCTCCTTGGCTTCATTCCCGCTGAGAATGAGATATGCTGGTAATTTTTTAGCAAAACCAATTATCCGGAGCAAGCCCCAGCTTTCTCCTGACAGGCTTTACCCATGACTGACTTCAAACATCAACTCAACTGAGAAGCAGCTCTGTTAAATGGTCTTACAGCTGCTACCACTTGCATTAGGTTATGTCCACGCGGGGCATGTATACATTTGCATTAATGAGCTGTGGTTACTGCACATTAAATGCACGGTAACCAGTGCTACTGCACAGTAGTGTCAGCATCTGCCTTTTAAGTGATGCTAATGCACAGTAGACTACTTATATTGTGCATTAGCTCAATAGCACCCAGCTTTCATTGTGATACACTAATGTGCAGTAGAATTAGTCTACCGTGCATATAGCATCTCATATAGGTGCACCCACTGTAGCATAAAGCAGAGGTTCCCACGGAGCTAGTCTTTAATGTGGGTGAGTTAGCCCATATCAAACACTTTCCCATGGCCAGACTCAGTGGCAAAGCAACTAGGACAGCAACCCCAGGTGCCAATGGGGCAGGGAGAGGAAAACAGTAGCTATGTTTCCACCTCCTGCAGCTACCACTGTAGCTGCAGCCACACACATGCGCTGGTGGGGCACAGCAGCTGTCAGAAGTTGCCACTGCTTTCATGCATCACAACTGTCCCGGGCACACAGCTGACTTGTTACACCTCTGGTGAGACTGCTTCAGTAAAGCACTTCTTGGCCAGACTACTTCAGTACCCAAGAAAGCACATTTAAAGCTAGCTCTAGGTACAGGGGATCTCAACCTCTTTAGAATGAGGGCACCATTCCATAACTTTCTGCTTCTTCTTCTTCTTCTCATGTCTTGTCGGAGATATTTGATGACAGGTAGTTAGCAGAGTTTGCAGGTTTGTTAAACTCTGACAGGGCCGTGATGCGAATGCTTCTGCTGTGGCCATTACAGCAATTGGAACTTCCTTGTATTTGGTGATCCCCCTGTTGAGAACTACTGTTGTACTGCCTCAGCTTCCTAGGTAATTCCTTATACAATAAATTTACCAGACAGTTAACATTTTTCTTCACCACCACCCCCCCCGCCCCACCAACAGCATATAACAGCAGCAGTGCAATTGACTTGTCTACACGTTAAAAAACAACCCCCTGCCTCCCTTACAATAGGTTTGATTTTTCTGTCTCTTGCACAAAGATTTCCGATTACGTACAAAAGAATTACTCCTGATTTACACCACTGAGATAGGAACGGCAGTGAAATAACGCACTATTTTTTTCCTCTGTGAGAAACTTGTATTGATATGATTGGGACTATTGCAAGTGGAATGAAGGTAAAATACTGAATGACATCTTTCAAAGTGACCTGATTTCTCCTAGTTCATATCTTTTTCCTCTCTTGGATTTTCAGAAAATGAAGTTATGAACTCTTTAAAAAGGGCAGACCATATCTGACTGGGAACAAGTCTTGCCCCAATACATAAGCATACAAATACTGTGTGCTCTGTCAGCCTATCAGTGAATTCTCCTGTCCTTAGGGCAGTGGTTCTCAACCACCTGGCTGCAAGTGCCACTACTGGGGCCAAATGAAGCTGGGCTGCGTACCTCCTGCCAAATACAATCAGAAAGCGACTGGCAGAAGTGCCAGCTCCTGCTGCAGTTCTTCCCAGCTTGATGCCACTAGTATCTCCACACTACACGGTGGTCTGCAGTGTAGATGTACCCTTAGTCTAGTTAAGCCTGTATCTTTTTTTAAATTACCTTTAAAATAGTTAATTTTAAAATGGGTATTTGAGTTCAAAAGTTTCCAATTAGAAGAAGACAGTCACAGGAACTTCCTTGGAGTCTGGATTCTTCTGTGTTCTCTGGGACCTCTTTAGATTAAGGTGTCAGGGAAAGACAGTCTGCTGGGAATTAAAAACTACACGACTATTTTTCCTTCTAGCCCTACTAAGGTCTGATACTATCCCTGGCTTACTACTGACACAGGCTGCATACAGACAGATTCCCTCCAGGTGAAAGGTTTCCGTCCCATTACTTTCTGTACTAGCCATTCTTCATTTAGTAGTGTAATGCAAGAAATCAGGCACGCCCTATGGACTTGCGTTTTTAAGGGAGTCTGACACACACACTTCGCAGAGCCAGGTGGATCTTACGTCACTATGCAGGGTTGCAAGAGCAAATACAATAAAAGCTAAACAAGAATGATTTTAAAACATTTTTATTTAAATATTAAATAAAACACATCAATTAATCATTCTGGTGTAATTTCTCGTTTTAACATAAGAAATAAAATGATTGTTCAGTCATGGTAAAAAATAAAACTATACATCTTAATCAAACCAATCACATAGTGTCTTTAAATATCCTATTGCATTGCAGTCTGCAGAACAGCACTGTCAAGAAATCTACAAAAAACAAACATTAAAAACAACCTCTTCTTGCTCCAGGAATAATTCCAAAGAGGTTATACAGCAACTGGAGAAGGAAAAAATACTATGAAAGTAAAGTGCTTGTCATTGCTTAGAACAGGAAAAGATTGTTTCTGTGGCCTTTTGATCCATAGCATTAAAACAATGCAAATATTGAAGAGAAACAATTCTGCTTTTAAATGTGCTACCCCTTGTGAAACTGAAGGCAAAGTTGCTGCTTTCTGACAGGTTAGCTTCTTCTCAGCCTTCTTGCCTCACTCTCGCATGCAATTTTTTCCCTCAACCACCCTGAAAATTCACAAGACTTGGGTGTTTTCTCTGATGCAAAGTAACCGCCATTTGGAGACCCAACCCCCTCACCTCGAAGTTTCCCCAGCACACAGCAGCAGTGGCAAGCTAGAGATACATCCATACGGACACACAGATAAAAAGATTATTTATGAAAAGCCACAGACATGGAGCTACATGACATGTTTAACCCTTTCCCTCCCACCAATTAACCTGGTCAATCTTTGGCTTTTTTAAAAAAAAATAGATTTTTTTTTTTAAATGTGTAATACTGCAGGTTGCAAGAAGCCAAGATAACTTGAAGGCACCCTGTGTCACACTAAAGAGAGGGGTCCTTTAAGCACTGAGATAGAATTAAACTATTTCCTGACATTCAATTAGTAACTTTTGACCAACCTGGTTCTCTGCTTACTCACCTGCCACCAAAGTTTGACCCTGACCCCCACAAGTTCCTGTAGGGGCTGTGGTCTATTCTCCCCTTTATACCCATGTGTAACTTCCATTGATACCAACAGAAGTCATGCTCTGCCACAGAGGGAGTTTTATACCAGAAAACTCAATATAAGCATATTACAAAATATAAAAAATAAGTAGTGTATATATTGTTTTCTGCTTCCTATTTATATAGATATACAGTATTAAAACCCATACATAAAAACACTTACCTAATCAAAAATCTCATTTTTGCTAATGTGTCAAACAAACAGAACAAAAAAATAAAACCAAAAAAAGAAAAACCCACACACCTAAAGACTGTGCTGTTTCACTCAGTTTAATACAGTTTTGTTCAGAAATAGCTGTACTCATTTAGAGTAAAATTCTGTTCTACCCTATTCTTTTTGTCTTTGTCAGTACAGGATTATAACCTCAATATTGCACATTTCCCCAAGAGTCAGTTCTATTTGGACCCTGATAATGAAATGCATACAAACTTAATTAGCAGCGCAAATAAAATATGCAGCACTAAGAAATACCCCTCAGACAACTTTGAAGGCAACCCCTGGGGTGAGAGTGGGAGGCAGGGGGTAAAGCAAAAACCATCCCCTTTGTCCCACTAATACAACTGTTTCTATCCCCAGTGCCTTTGCAGGAACATGAGAAAATATTATTTAAAAAAAAAAGGTGGGGTGTGAGAAGAAAAGAGGGAAGAGAGAGCACAAGACAAAAACAGACATTCCTAAAGATTTAGAACAAACAATAAAAATACCCCCAGACACTATGCAATCTGGATCCTGATATCAGGGGATACATTTCCAAGAGATTAATTGCTTCTTTGCTAACAATTAGAATATTTTTAGCTCTTCCAGCCAATATATCAAGCAAAAATTTCACAGTTTTCATTTAAAGCATAAGTGTTTTTGGGGAGTAGGAGTTGTTGGTTCTGTTAAAATAAAATAAGCATCAACTACATAAAAATAAATGGCAATGCTTCCATTTTTCCCTCCTATCACTGCATAATGTTGCATGCCACTATTTTTTTTTAAAGAGGTAATCGTCTTCACAAACCCATAAACAAATATTGTGAAAAGGGAAGGCTCTGGTCCCTTCTTTGAAAAGCCTCTCCCCTGTTATGTCACCACAACTGACAGCTGTCCTGCATAAAAGCAAAGCTGCGTTGGTCTGACTTGAATACAGTACCAAAGAGTTCTTCCCCGGCTACATGCCACCCTGTCCCCACACGTCCCACCCTAACCCCTATCATTATTTTTCTTCAAAAAATGTTTTGTTTCTTTCAGTTTCTATTCATATTTGTTCAGTGCAAGAATAGTAGAAGCCAAAAGACATACATATTGCTTGTTTCAGTTCTATAAAGTTCTTAGCTTTCTGAGACAGCTTCTTCACATACTTCAAAATTTATTGCTTCCAAGAGTCAATCCTTCACACAATGCCAGCTAGCCATGGAACAATGGTGAAAGTCCTTTGCAAAAGAGAGGTGAGCTCCGTAGCAGCTGAAACTCTCATTTAACCAAGACAAATTTCCCCAGCTGGTTTGAAGTGAGGTCCTCCATTTCACAGTCCGCGTGCTGCAATGTGACTGCATCATAACCTGCAGACTGCACAGAGAAACTCTGGGGGTGAGAGAAGGTTGTGGCGATTGGAGAGACATCGCTGCTGATAAACAGGTGGGTGTCTAAAAGGTGAGCAGCTGAAGACACTGGTGAGACACTGAGCCCAAAGAGGTGAGGTTGGAGCAGCTGATGGTTGCCACCAAAGGCCAGTTCGAGGGAGTTCTCTCTTTGAAGCTCTGACAGCAACAAGGAATTGGACGTTTTGAAGGTGCTAGAATTGTCAGAGGAGGGAACACAGTGCACTGCAGACACCTGAGCAGGCTGGTGACAAGGTGGCTGGAACAATTGATGATGCTGCAACTGAAGCATTCTGAACAAAAGTCAAGAGGGAAGGAAATTAACACTTATTGCTTGGGAGTTCTAGGTTTTCTATGTAGCACTATCCCAACCACTTCTCAACTGTTTGGTTCATGTACAGTGGCTTGTACAGGTCAGTCACACCAAATGGAAATGTGGGAATCTTTGGGGGGGGGGTAAAAAAAAAATCACAACCGAATGATGTGCTCACAATTCATCAACTAAGGAACATACTATTCTAGTGACTAAGGATATTGGTGCTCAGTTTTCCATCTTGCTTCTACGAAAACTAAGTGTTGCCACCAAACATGAGATATAAAGCCGCTGGAACTGTGCCACATTTGTGGAACGCAACTTTTCCAGATCACAAGGCCCTATCTTCTAGCCATGGGAAAATAAACAGGAAAGAAGGAAAGCATCTATCCCCAAACAAAAACAGCGCTTGTGATAGGAAGAAATTATGTTTTGCCTTTGCATTATGCAGGGCTTCTCACTCCATAATTTCAAAACATTAGATTTAGACTCCTGGATTCTTGTGAAGCCACATGTCGGCATTACACAAACTGCACAAAGGCTTAAGACAGGGGTGCTCAACCGCTGGCCCAAGGGCCAAATCTGGCCCCCGGCTCTGGGGCATCCAGCCTGCAGAACTCTCCATGGGTCCACGGGGAGCCCTGTAGACTGTTGCCCTGTGCACAGGATCTGGTGAGCAGGGAAGTACGGTGCCTGATCCTGGCACACATGGTGTGGGGCCCCAAAGCCTGATCCCCATATGCAGGATCAGGTACAAGCAAGTGTAGGGCCCTGGAGCACGACCCCCACATGCAGAACTGGGTGGAAGCAGTGCAGGGTCCCAGGGTCCCGATACTGGCATACAGGGCTGAGCGGGGACAGCCCAGTCTGGATCTGGGCCTCCAGGCCCAATCATGGAACATGGGGTCCAATCCCACTCACAGACCAGCCCTGTGCCACTCATTTGGCCCGCAGAGCCAAAAGGCTGAGCATCATTAGCATAAGGGATGTTACGAAGAAGTTAGAGTGGCCCATTTGCTGTCACAAAGCAAGAACCAGGAAAAGAACCTTTCAGCCCTAGCCCTCAACCTCTCTCTCCAACTACTGGACAATAACCTCATTTCCTAAAAAGAACACACTGCAAAAAACAGGCTAAAGTACAAGTTCACTGACTGTGTATCACCTGCTGCATACTTGAGAGAGCAACATAAACACATTACATGTCAGTGCCATAATTGGACTGGGCCCTGTTGCCAAATGGACGCTCACCTCTGCTGTTGGAGCACCTCTTCGAGAAGGCTTCTGCTCTCTCGGCTGCTTCCCCCACTGCTGTACATGCAGGTGTTCTGCTGTGAATGCTGGAAAGGGCTCATGCCATTTCGTGCTGCCCGAGCTGATGAAGATTGACAGACCTGACGAGCAAAGCCTTTGATTTTATTCAGACCAAGGAAGCCTTTGGCTCTAGCACTCTTCCGTAACTGCTGTCTAAATGCTTTCAAGCCTGTGGGAGACAAAGGAAACAAGCCCTTTTTATTTCTCCTCAATAAAGCTTTGCAACTGGGTGCTAAATAACTTCCCTTTGTGAAGCAGCAGTTCCCAACCTGTCTGAGCAGCCATGTTAAGTCTACTACAGTGAGACCTAGGGCAATACAGACAAGATTCCTGTCTGTTCACATTCATCTACACACCCTACTCACGAGCAACAAAGCTCATGCAAATACAAGGCTGCTCCGAGGCACCTCCTGTTCTACTATTTTCTGACATATGCAGAGCTAAATAGGAGGAAGGCAGCAATTGCTTGCTGGTTCATTACTAAGGTAAAGAAGTGGGAAGCCTAGAATACCTAGCACAGAAATGAGAAATCCTACACTAACACATGGAACCATTTGGGAAACACTAGCATAGATGGCTTATTCCTGAAATCACTTTTACTGCTCTAGTTTTACAGTAACTGGTGCAACAGGAACTCCCAAATGCCACTCTACGTTACTACTTGGAAATGTGTGCCTCTTCAACTATAGCGCAAGAAAGGATTTACCTTGAGTTAATGAGGTATCAGATGCTCTCCTTCCTTCCTGGAAGCTGACAGGCAGCAAAGCAGCACCTCCCATACAGCCCTGAGCTTGCAACACTGGAGTATCAGACTGAGAAGTCAGAAATGGCGATGTCATCCTGGCTGTGGCTGGGTTACCTGTCATTACTTGATCTGCCAAACAGCTGCTCAGAGCCACCATGCCCTCATTTGAAGATGAAGTTAGGCAGCTGTCTGAACTTGTTCCCTCTGTGGGGCTTGCTGAAGAAGAAATGACTATACCTACAGAAGGGAAGGGAGGAACATCAGCAAATGTTTCTGAAACAAGCACAGGAAGAAACAAAAAATTCTTATATCTCTCCCTGTACGCTGCAACCAACCACAGCTGTCAGACTAGAACCAGATTGGTCCAGAACAAGGGTGGCCAATTTGCAGCATGCACACTGCAAGTGGCACAGGCAGCCCCTGTGTGTGGCCCCACTGACTTCAGCAGCACAGGGCAGTGTGAAATTTGGGCCCTGGGGCCATGTCCAGATGAATGCTACATACTACACGGTCAGGTGTTCTGCACACTGCAAGGGAGCAGCAGCAGCACAAGGGTTTGTTTTTCTTTAACCCCTGGATATCCAGAGGTCAAAAAACAAGACAAAACAACCCCATGCAAAAAAAAAAAAAGAGTGGTGCATGCCAGCGCGGCATGTGCTGCTCAGAACTGGAGCCTGGCTGGCCAGAGCCACACTGTGGCTGCCAGACAGGCTCAGAGCAGCAGGATCACTGCTGCTGCAGCCTTTGGAGGACCCCAGGACCCCGGGTACAGCTGCTGGGGCCAACCGACTGTTGGCCCTTGTCTCCCCTACCCCACTCAGGGTAGCCTGCCACGCACCAGAGTGCATGTGGCACAGGTGTTCCCTAGGGACAACTAGCGGTGACACAAGTTGCAACACCATTAGTTGTCCCTGGGAAATCAAACGTCCATGCTAATCTGGACACGGCCTGGGAGTGCAGCAGTAGGCTGCGTGTAATCTAGGGCTATAACCCTGTTATTTTGGGGCAGGAGGGGGAATTACATCAGGATCTGATCCTGCTCTAACAGAAGTCAATGGCAACACTAAAGTAGAGTCGCACATTCACCAAAATCTACAGGACCTGGGATTTAACTTGATCTAAAAGGGCATGGCCTAAATTAAGTACACTTCACTTTCAAAATACATGGGTACTAAATGGCTACATCTTTAAGAATTTTCAAAAGCCGCATATATTTAAAGAAAGAAATAACTGGAGAGTGCGTAGAACAGATGAGTCACTGTTTGACCCCTTCTATCGTAAGTCAGCATAGTTGCAAAACTAGCATCTACTGATATTTGCTGTGTCCTGGCTTCTACTAGGATGGTCACAGCAGTCCACTCAGTTTGTACCTCAGAGACTGTCTCCCCTGAAGGACTTACATGGAGGGGTATGTTGGTAGAAATGAGTAGTGACTTCAGCTAGCGTGTGCCTCCTGCTGGTGTTGTTGGGAATATGAAGGGGGTTGTAGGCTTTAATCTCCTCCTCCAGGTCTTTCTCCTGTCTCACTTCCTCGCTAATGGTGGTTTCCAGCAGGCTGTTGGGAGAGATGGGGCGATTCCTGAACAAACCACTGAAGCTGGGATCTACAGGAAAGAACACTGGCTGCAAAACAACAATACAACATAGAAAATTAGCAGAGAGCCATTTATTTATTTCTATGAAAACATTCTCATTATTTGTTTGTGCTTTGCAGGGCCATGTACCAGGCCTTTATTATGCCTACTGTTAAAAGGGTATTATGGCACTGTACAGCTGAATGTTTAATGAAATGAAACTGAAGAGCAGAACAGCTGGAGGTAAAACCTTTGTCATGTCAAATTAACTGAACAATAAGAACAGCTGGATGATATTTAGCTGAAAGCACCAACCTGTAATGGATTGTTCATGTCACAATCCATTTCTCCCTGCAAGGATGACTGAATCAGGTTCTGAGGTTGCTGGTAAAGCAGAGATGATCTCAGGGATTCACTTGCAAGACTGTCCTGAGGCATCTGAAGGCAAAAAAATATAGGCAAGATATGAGATAAACCGCAAATCCTATCAATTTTTCAAATATTACTGGCACATTGGGTATCTATATGTCCTCCACCCAAGCTTCTCAGAGCATACGGCAAAAATTAATAAGTGTATCCTTAAAACACATAGGTAGCTCTCTGTCCTAAATGGGGAGCTAAAAGAATAAAGTTTAAGAAAACCATCAGAAGTGACAATGGAAGTATGTGGCAGAGGTGGATATAGAATCCAGACCTCCTTATTCTCCACTGTGTCAGGCTGAGGACACCCAGATCACCTTCTTTTTTGTTACTGAGTCCCTTTAAGAAATCGGGACTGGCTCATGAAACATCTGATTTGCATTCAACAAGATGTCAGAAGCAGCTTGTATTTCTGAAAGGACAAATTTCTAATCAGAAGCCTCATAACTTAGCCCATTATTGACCAGCACTGGAGGGAGACTATTCTTTGGACTGTGACCTACAGAAAGTTACTGTGTTAGGAAACGGGCCATTAGTATTCAATCAACCTCCTGCTGAAGAACAGCCTGCTATGTCCTCTGGGTAGAGGACAGAAAGATTAAACTGACTCAGAGGACCCTTATGGTCACATCTTGTAGTTTCCTGTAATATTATGGGCAAAAGCATTTGATGAATAAAATTAAATACAGCAAAGCAGAGAATATCAACAGTACAAAGGTTTACAGTAGACTGTATTCTGTCTTACTTCAATGTTGCTGAGCTCCAAGCTCCTTGGCCTTTGCTGACGGCCAGTCACTGGACGATTTGACACCTGGCTGCTTCGGTACTCCTTGAGGCGCTCCAAGAGAAGGTAATAAATTGCGGCAAAATGGTTGTAGCTGCTGTTTTGTAGTGACTAGAAGACATGAAAAGGATGTTTAAACTACAGATAAACCACCTTTAAAGAACATAAAGAGCAACAACAGGGCAACTAATTTTCAAAACATCATCACATCCAGTAAGTAAACAATGCTGAGTAGCTTCAACTCAAGGTAAATCTTTAAGCATATATGCATGAGCAGAGGTGTGGTTAACCTCTTGCCCTTTCCTGAGGAGCCAATTTCCATGCAAGCATTGTCAGCAATTATTGGCACTCTGTTAGTCCCTGAACAAGCATCTAAGGGACATACGTATTTCATACCAGTGGAATGAGCAAAAGCTCACCTCAATTGTTCTCTGTTTGTCGATACCAAGAGCCTGCATGATTCCAAGAACCTGCTCATTATAGTCCCCCAGATTGGAGTTGTAGTTCTGCACGGAGAAGGACAAAGACTGCTGCTGCCGAAGAGAAGGGTCTGCTTGCATCCACTTGTGCTGCTTTATCTGGGCAATGGTAATTCGTTTGGCTGGGTCCACAACCAGCATCCGTCGAATTAGTGTTTCACAGTCTGGACAAGTGGGGGGAAAAAAGCCATTAACAAGTGGTAAAATTAAGAATCCAGCCACTCACAAGAAGCTTCTAATTATTTTATAGCTGTAGTTTACTGCTTCTAGAAAGTTTATTCAGCTTCTTTGCATCTAATATCTATGAAAATGTGTAGCAGAGGTTCTAATCAGCTGATGCAGGTCTGACTATGCAGATACTGAAAACTGCATAAGCAAGACCCTAACATCAAAAACACTAACCAAGCCCATATACGTTTCATAACAGCAATGTCACTGCAAGAAGTGGCGTTGTAAGAAACCTACAGTTCTTAAGCAGCCTGGACTTTTGCCTGGAAGCAGTGCCAAATTCAGACCAATGCTAAGTGGGTGCAATTCTATAGATGATTAATCCATTTAAAATAGGGCTGAATGTGGCATAGAGCCTACTAATGCTACAGCATATTATTGTTTATTTGTGAGTAATAAAAAATCCAAAGCAGTTTAAGATTAAAATTGGTTAAGAGGTAAGGTCCAGATCACAACAGTATCCCTTAAGCTTAAAGGGAGAAATAAGTGTAGCTGTATAAATTATCGGAGGAGTTAAAATACACTTCACAACAGACATCAGTTCTTTTTAACAGCCTTGTAAAAATAAAATAAACTCAATGTAATGATAGGTCTCACTACTTCTGATCTTCTCAATAGCATATGTCACATTTTAAAATATACTCCTTGTGCCTAGTTAGAATACCATGCTCGACTTCATTAACACCTTTTTTGGTGTTTATTTTTTTAAAGGTCATTTCCTCAGCTAGGGTATGGATGAATCATCATTTTAGCAACCCATACTGATATTCTAAGAAAGGAAAAGGTAACTGTTTGGGTGTATGTTATGTAACAGATATATGCTGTGCTACAAGTACAGTAAGAAAGAAACTGTGCTTGAAAGCCACAAGAGAGACAAAGTATTGGGCAACTGCACAAAAGATAAAAAGAAGAAAAGATGCTTATGCAAGAAGATTATTCATCACCCTTCCTGCTAGTAACCCCTTTTCTAGTGCCAAGGTTCTAGGAAATGTACCTTGGGACATGAAGTAGGGGATGCGGAATCGTCCCTCCAGCACTCTTTGTCTCAGGGTTGGCAAATTGGGTCCATCAAAAGGGAGAGAACCACAGACGAGGACATACAGCACCACACCAAGGCTCTGTCAACAGAAAACAGCACAAGCACATAAGTCACCACAGAATAGGTAGCAGTCATGAAAACCCAGTGTTAAATGAAGCATAAAAACATGAACACTGTGGAACCCAAAGCTTACCCAGATATCAAGGTGAGGGCCTTCATATTCCTTGCCTTCAAAAACCTCTGGAGCTGCATAAGGTGGGCTTCCACACCAGGTAGAGAGGGGTTCTCCTGATTTGTAGAAGTTTCCAAACCCAAAGTCTGAGGTGAAAGCAAGAATCCAGAGTAAGACTTTTTTATTACATACCAGGTTAATATTTTAAAACCAAAGGGGAAAAAAAGGGACGGAGAGTGGATTTATTTCATGGAGGATCTTTGCCTAGCTTTTTTTGGTTTTTTTGCTTGGAAAGTAGATATAATTCAGAGAAATACTGAGTTTAAGTCTTTTTTTAAAATGCACTTATAGGATAATCCAGTTGTCACACTGGAGAAGTAACATTCAGTAATATATCATGTTTTCCATGGCTTATACAATGACTATTTAACTGTCTTACCTGCTAACTTGATGTTCATGTTGGCATCTAAGAGGAGGTTCTCAGTTTTGAGGTCTCTGTGCACTATGTGATGGCTGTGACAGTATTCCACTGCTGAAAGGATCTGCCAAAACTTCTTCCGAGCTTCGCTTTCACTTAAATGCCCATTGGAAGTCAAATGATCTGCAGGATCATATCAATAAGCACAAGAATTAAACACAGATAAGGTTAAGTTTTCATTATCCTGAAGAAGCTGCATTCACTTCTTGGTATATGATATCCAACTAAACATTAATACCCTACATGAATGCCAGCAATAAGGGAATGCTTTCTAAAACTAAAAGAACTGTTATTTGTGGAAATGGGAACTTACCAAACATTTCTCCATTTTTTGCAAATTCAGTAACAATATAAAGCATGTCCTTTGTCTCCATAACCTGTCAAGACAGAAGGGAGGTCATGTTACTAAACCAGATCCCTGAAAACAACTGGATTGCAGGAAGGGGGTGGGGGGGAGGATGGAGGGGGCGGAATCTATAACTTATCAGTGCTACTATCTACAACTATTGTAGGCACTAAAGGCATCACAGTACTCCTTCCATACAAGATGCAATTCAGAAAGATAAATTTTTTTATACCCCTAAAAACATACAATTGCTTCCTGCATTTCTTTTTCTTCTCTCCCCCACGCCATCTAATTTCCATAAAATAAATTAATAGAGTATTTCAATTTTATATACCATTATGGAATCTTTTTTGTTGCTGCACTGGTAAAAAAGTAGTCGTAATTGAAGTAATCAGCATAGAGCATTCAAGGACACTAAGTTTAAAAACAGGCTGCCAAAATTCAAGGACCTTCTACGAAAGACTAGCACGTACGGACAGCAAAGCTGATATTTACACTCAGAAAAAAAACCTGAAGAGGCAATATCAAATACCCGACTCCCACTTGGTACTGGATATGACAAAAAACCCTGGAAGATGACAGCTCTGCCTGGCCAGCAACAATAGCATGCTGTTTGTGCAACTGTATTGCTCGATACGCGTCGATAGCAACTGTCAATATGCAGTCAAAAGTTCATTTATTGATCTGGCATTGATTTAGTTTTAAAAATGTGTTACTAGTTTAAATCTTTCTGAAGCATTTGCTATAAGTTAGCTAAAATACTGAACAGGTAGGTGGGGAAGATAATTGCATTCTTTGCTCCTAAGGTAGTATAGTTTATAAAACATTAGTAACCAAGCAGATGTCAATACTCTATACATTTTCAAATTTCTACCAAAAAAAAAAAAAGACAATGACTGGGGTGCCTTTCATTCTTCTCTCCACATACAAACATAATATAATGAAAAAAATAAATAAAATAGGGAGAAAAGGAAAAGAGGTTTCTAGTTTAAAAAAAAAAAAAAAAAAAGCACCAAAGAAAAGTATACTGGGAAAGATGCCAGCTGGACGAAAATGAGATGCTGTGTTGAAACTAAAACAATGACGAAATAGAACAAGAACACACACCCGACACTGATATGTCATTTCATTCCATCCCTACTTCTCAGACTCCACTGAACAGGTAAAGCAGCAACAACAATGAAAAAAAGAAAATTCAACTGACAAGAAATTTTGATTTGCTACCCATGTCATGTTTGGTTAACTGATTTGGTTCAACAACATGGAATTTTAAACCGATTTTCCAAAGCCTGGTAACACCACACTCACTTGCATTGTTTCACCAAAATGAAATTACCAATAATATTACAAAGCGTCTTTGTACCCTGAACTGTCCTATGGGCAACAGTGACGTCAGGCACTAACCATCAAAACAAAAAGTATTTGGAATATAAATGTCAAGTACTCTTGGTGTGCCAAGCTCTTTAAAAATAATGCTTCACTGAAGTACCTGCCTTACTGGCTCTTCTACCTTACATGTTAATTACAGCTTTCCAAGAGTCCTTTCTGATAATGGTATTTGCTACTTCCCACCAAATTCCAGACCTGCTGCTAGATTTCTTAATCCAGTCACCTGTCCCTCTTCCCTTCACAAGTAGACCCTGACTTATTGCGATATCCCATCTTTGCAAATCCCCAACGGCACTGTTTAAGACGATTACAGGGAACTTGCACCAAATGCCAATCAGAGCAAGTATTTAGTAGTTGCACAGCAGCCCTTGCTCACCACAGGCAGCTGTGATCCTGTTTTCTGTACAATGCTATTTTGTATTTAAATGTGTACTGAAACACAACTGAACAAAACTTAAAAAAAATATACATGCAGAAAAACATAGGAGAACATTTTTATCAGGTTCCAAAACTAACAGAAGTGGAACAAAATAAATTTATTTTCTGAGACTTCTCAAGATATTTGAGTTCTCTTTTAAAAGTGTGTAACAGAATTTTCATTACATTTACAAATATTTTTAAAAGCTTTCCATTTATGATGTACATGAGGGGCAGACAAATGTATACTACTTTATGTACTTTATAGACTTACAGCCTTTAAACAAGGCTAAAAATGTATATTTAGCTTCACAAATAAAACAGATAATATAGGCCATCAACTAAAATTTAAAAAAATTAGGGGAAAAAACCCAGCGAGTTTACCAAGGAAACACAAATAGCCAATAACTTCAATCTGAAACTAACCAGGCAATTCTGACCAAATGCTCTTTAATATCTAAAATTAAAAACCACCTCAAACTAACCATACTGTAAGTGTTCAAGGAACACTAAAGAAACTTAAAAACAATGCTTATTTAATTCTCCTTTACATGCTTCAGAAATGTGAATTCCTTCCCTGCAAACACCTGATTTAAAAACCACGTGCAAGATAAATTCGGTAGCAACCAAAGCCATGGGAGACAAGTACATCTAATATGCATGCAGGGATCAGAACAGATCTCTTACCTGATAAAGCTTGATAATGTGAGGGTGATTCAAAAGCTTCATTATCTGAACTTCTCTATAAATCTTCTCAAGGTTGCTTGGGTCTAACCTCGTTTTGTCTATAATCTTTATTGCAACCTGCAGATGTAAAAACATAAATCCAGCCATTTACTTCAGCTGCCAGAATCTTTCACAGTACAAATACACTTTTAAAAACTTCAGGGCTACAAAACAGATTTCGCTTCTTGCAAACTGCAGTACGTTTTATTTTCTTTACACCATGTGCAAAGAGCCTACACGAGGGAAAGAACAGAACTGCAGACATCAGCGCTTACTCAAGACACAGCCGAGGAATATCACTCATCTCCTGCTGATGCCCGACAGTTTCCTCCCATCTATTTTCTCCTACGCTGTCCGGTTCGATTTGGAAACCTGTCACCGAGTCCAGTTCACAAACCCACCAGCAAAACCAATGTTCATCTGGATTTTAAGAACGTGCAGAACCGGCTGCTTCTGAACAGCTCCCGAATTTTGTTAATGAAATCGAGCGCACCTCCCGTCTTCACAGGGCACTTTTTTATGCTGCCTTAAACTCCAGAACTGGCTTTAAATTTGCAAAGCACCAGGCAGCATTTCAAAAAGCCCCAGGGGAGGGGGTTAAACAATTCAGCCCCAGAGAAGTAGGGCTAGAGGGGACTGAAGTGTCACAACACAGGGCTGCATGTCTGACTTGTTTTACCTTCACTGGGGCTCCCCTAAAATGCAGAGTCCCCCCTGCTCCACCAACAGACGTGTCAGTGGGATTTGTGGGATGAAGGCAGGCTAGGATTCTGCATGCCTTACTGCAAGAGGAGAGCTTGCCTAGCCCCATCCCTTACTGCACAGGGCAGCGTGTCTAACCCCATCCCTACTGCACCCGGGAGCTTGCCTAACCCTGTCCCTTGCCGCATAGGAAAGCCTGTCTAACCCTGTCCCTCCCCTATCCAACCTGTCTTGCATGGGAAAGCCTAACCTCATCGCTTACTGCATAGAGGAGTTTGTCTAACCCTGTCCCTTACTGAATGGGAGAGCCTGTCTAACCCCATCCCTTACTGCATGGGGGAGCCTGCCTAACCCCCTCCCTTATCTGCCAAACCCCAGTCTTCCAAGGGGGTAAGCCAGTCTAACCTCATCCCTTAGTGCACAGGGGAGTTTGTCTAACCCTATGGAAGAGCCTGTCTAATCCCATCCCTTACTGAATGAGGGAGCCTGACTAACCCCGACCCCTGTGGCACGGGAGTGCCTGCCTAACCCCAGCCTTGCATGGGGCAGCCCACCTAACCCTGTCCTTTACGGCACAAGGGAGAGCCTGTCTAACCCCATCCTTCACCTGCCTTACCCCAGTCTTGCAAGGGAAATGAAAGCCTGTCTAACCCCGTCCCTTACCGCACGGGGCAGCCTGCCGACCCCTACCCCTTATGGCACCGGAGCGCCTGCTTCTCCCGTCTTTCATGGGGGAGCCTGTCTGACCTCCCTTGCCGAATGGGCGAGCCTGCTTAACCCCAGGCTTGCACCGTCCCACCTCGCAGCGGGTGCAACCCCTCAGCTTCCCCAGTCCCAGCCCTACCTGCGTCTTGGTGACCCGGTGCCGGGCCAGCTTCACCACGGCGAAGTTGCCTTTGCCCAGGGTGTGCTCGATGTCGTAGAAGCCGACGCGGAGCGGGCGCGGTGCGGCCGGGCCGTACTCGGACATGATGACCATGGCTCGGGCTGCCGCCGGCGCGCGGCCACTGCCACTGCCCTGCTCCGCTTCTCCGCGCGAGCTCCCCACGCGCCCGCCCGCGTGTGAGTGTGCGTGTGTGTGCGTGGTGCCAGCGCGCCGGGGCCGGGGAGCACGAGGGATCCCCCTGAGCCGCGCTACACGCCCGCCCCCTCTGCCAGCCCCGCCTCCTCCTCCTCCCTCCCCGCCCCACCCTCCAACGCCTAGCCGAACCCATTGACGTCACTTTGACGCCAGCTAGACGCGCGCCCTGAGCGCCCGGCCGCTCGAATGAGAGCGAGACAGCCGGGCCGTTGCCAAGAGACCGGGCGGGTTCTGACGCGCGGGGGCCGAGGGAGCCGTCGCCCGGGAGACTCGGAGGCGGTGACGTCAGGGCCGAGCCGGAGGGGAGGGGCTGGGCTGGCTCGCTTCTCCCCTTTCCTCTCCCCAGCCCCCAGGGCCTGGGCGCCACGTGACCGCCTCGTCAGCCCGCCGGGCTCGCCCCCTGCCGGCGCAGCTGCTGAGCTGCTGAACTCCCGGCCTCCCGGAGAGCCCGTCCGCCGTTAACCGCCTGCGTGCCGGAGTGTGCTTCAGCATGCACCCGCTGGCTGCCGGAGCCCAACCACCACCACCCTCCGCAGCCTGGGGCATTAACCCTCTCCCTGCCACACACACCCCAACCTGGGGGCATTAACCCGCTCCCTGCCACAGCCCAGCCACACACACACACACACACACACACACACACACACACACA